GTATCTTGGTGAGGGCCACATCCTCACATGGTACAGTGTGCTTGTGAGCAGGCCCAAGAGYTTATTTGAATTTTTGGTAGCTGATTTTCTTAAGTGTCCTGTCTGCAATCTCCCTAATATCTTCATCCTCCGTTGAAAATCCAGGGCTTCAGGTTCCCTGATGGATCTCCCAAGTACTTTCTAAAACCACACCTGCTTCTGGGCTCAAGTGGTGAGAGGTGAGAGAGAGAGAAACAGCATCAGGCACCTCTCCCCGTCTTGGAGCCAAAATCACCTGAACTGAGAGGAGGGCTCCCTGCCCTTGCAGTTTCAGGTACCGGCCCGATGACTGCAGGTGTTCCTGCCAGTGTTGCGGGTTGATTGCCTGGGAATGGACGGGAGAAGATGGAAAAAACAAACCCCCACACCCAGAAGACTTCCCTACCTTTCAGTTCCCACCAGGGCGTGGGGCCAGATTCAGGCTGTCCTTGAGTACAGCTGGGAGACACGGTGCTCTTTTAAAATGGGGGAATTACGGCTGATTCATTGGTACTTCAAATTCTCACTTCCTTCCCAGATCGGCCTGCTACCACCTGCTGTTCAGAGTCCTCTGGGGCCTGCTCCATGCTTCTGTACGGTTGCCCTCGGTGACGGAGACCAGGTGGTGTGAGCTGTTTGCCTTGGCAGAAACGAACACCTGTCTGCCCTGCTAGGTTGCAGGGCAGAGGGACGGGRGACCTGGGGTCTCATCCAGGGCCTGCTGCCTCTCCTGGTGACCATCCCCCTGCCAAGCTGAAATGCTCAACATCATTTCACCATCTCAGAACTGGCTTTCAGAAAACCTGYCTTCAATCCTTTGCTCTGAACTATTAGGTTCAGAATCAAGAGAGGGAAAGAAAGGAAGGCTGTAGAAAATGATGTTTCCTGAGAACCTTCCATGTGCCAGGCAAGGCAGCGCACATTAATTATCTTATCATTCTCAAAATAACCTTTTTAAAATTTTTTTTGGTTACAGGTGGACACGGTATCTTTATTTTGTTTATTTATTTTTATGTGGTGCTGAGAATTGAACCCAGCACCTCACAAGTGCAAGGCAAGCTCTCTGCCACTGAGCCACAATCCCAGCCCTYAAAACAACCCTTTAAAATCATTCTTATGCTCACAGAAAATGGAATCAAGTTGGTCCCACTGTTAGTAAGCAGGAGAACACAGACCCAGGTGGAATGCAGTGCAGATCCCAATTCTGGGCTCCCCCCTTTGCAGACCTATGACCTGCACTCTGCCGAGCACTTCCGCACATGGCAAAGGATGGAGGCTGCTCACATTTGTCTTCCAAAGGTTCAGATGCCATCTCTCTCCTTAGGTCCCATGCTTTGTGATGTGGCACCTGTGAGTGGCTCCAGGTTCTCTCCTGAACCCCTTTCTGAAGCCTTTAGGACAGAAGCGATATCTAGCTGGCAGGTACTGCAGAAGTCGACATTGTGAAGTCATTTTGTGCCMGCTGCTTAAAGCCTGCCTCCCTGAGCCACCCCAGCCACCTGCCCTCGCCACCCCCGGACCTCCTGCCCTCTCCAGATTCCCACAACTCGAGGACCGAGGCTTGGGAGCCTCGCTCCAGGATCCYATCAACTCTTCCTGACACCCACATGATCAGCATCCACGCCCCGCTGGCCGGTCACTGGGCTGGCCCCTCTGCTCAGAAGAAGTCTCTGGACCATAGCTRAGTCATCTTTTCTGAGGGGAACTGAAGGCTCATTTTTGTCAACTGACTGYCATTTAGCTCCACATTGAGTTGAGCGAGAGACACACTTAACTACAGAGGACTCCTGGTTCCCTTAGGAAACCGGAGAGCCTCACCCAGTGTCCCGGGCCAGCACCTTCGAGCGTCTGGGAAACACGTGCTGAGCCTGCATCCCGCACCCCRAGGTTCCCCCCGCTCCCTGCGTCCCTTGTTGCTCCCTCTGCTAGTCCTGCYGTGCCTCCTCCACTTGAATCCCTCACAGCTAAGCTGCACAGAGACTGTTGCCTGTGTGACACAGAGCTCTTAAATTTCACCCCTTCTTTACGGCGGTTTCCAAGGGAAAACTGCTCTTGACATATTTTTGAGATTGAACAGGTTTCAGTGGGAGCACACTCCTTAAACTTGCATCCAGGATTATCCACAATCCCAAAAGATTTTTTTTTTATAACTTTCAAACTTCATCATAGGAGTTTGCCTAGGAAAAAGAGTCTATATGATTTTTTTTTTCAAATAGAAACTAGGACCACCGATCTCGTGATTAGAAATGCAATGATGTTCCAAGGGACTGGATCTGGGTTATAGAGAAGRCAATTAAGGATAATTAAAAGCAAAGGACTTCTTTACAGTTCTCACAGGTGAAAGCCATGAGCTGAGTTCCTATTTACAAACTCACTCCACAMCCCATGAACCCACCAAGCTTCCACGGTCCCTCACTGAGAGCTGCCAGGGCCMTGCTCGTAGCACTCGCACCCTAACTCGAGGCGAGGCACTGACGCTGAGCCTCGCTCTGACTCCTGACGAATCAGGTGGTCAGAAGCAGCAGATCCAAAAGCAGAATGGGGAGGTGCAGGGATTTGACCCAACAGGAAGAATGACAACTTCTTGGCAAGACCACGAGAAGGACACTAGCGTCTCTCTGCCTGGGGCTGCTGATGCTGGGGCAAACACCCGTGGACAGTGTTCTGCTACAACAGCTTCGGTGGATCTCGGGGACAGCAGACTGTCACAGCAGATCCTAAAACCCTGAAGTGATGATACTGTAAGGTCAAGAAGAGACACATTGTGGCCTAAGGTGCTTTCCAAGAAGATGATTCTACCAAAATCAAAAATTTCCATGTCGAGAGCAACAAACTCCAGCTATCCAGGACTGTGCCACCCAGCACGGCTCTTATCCACAATGACCACGTTCTGGAAGAGCCATCGAGCTGAGAGAATGGAAGGGGAGTGTCCTCGACACAGGAAGGGTGACAGTGTGAGGCATTTCGTGCCAACCAGCCAGACTGTCATTCCGCATGTATATAAACAGCCTGAGACATCTTTACATGATAAATATATATGATTTTATCTGTCAATTCAAAAATAGTTTAAACTTTTAATGAGATTTTGGACATTTTTTTTTCCAATACCAAGTCTTTGGAATCCAATGTGTATTTCAAACTTATATCTCAGTTCAGGTACTAAATTTTCATCAGAAAAACTTTATCTGTATTCAGATTTAATAAAATTTATAATTTGAAAAGTAGAATCACATGCTCAAGTTAAGCTTAAATTTTTCTAATAACAGAATTAACCATCGAAAATTCATCTTTATGTAATATTCCAATCTAGATYGACAAAACTGGCTCATTTTTTAGAAGAATTAATTTGATTTTGAAGAAAAAGCATATCTAGCTTCAAAACTGTGTCTATCTGCTGGACATGCTGGCACACACACCTGTAATCCCAGCAACTCGGGAGGCCAGGGCAGGAGGATTGCAAGTTTGAGGCCAGTCTCAGTAACTTAGTAAGACACGGTCTCAAAAAATAAAAAGGAAAGGGATGGAGATCAGCGGTAGAGTATCCCCGGGTTCAATCCCCAGTATAAAAAATAACACCATCAAATATATCTATCCAAGTTTAGGGAGTTCACAAACTTTTGTAGCAACTTGTTAATATTAATACTGACTTCATAAATCATTCATAAATCATTAAGCAACTCCAAATATAACACAACATTCTTCAAATTCTACTTGCAATTTTTCAGTGAACTGTAATGCTGTCAAATTAAAATAAAACTATCTGCATATTTAATTTAGAAAAATATGTACAGCTATAATATTAATTTGTGTCATGAAAAGTTTCCATTTTAACACAAAAACTCGTTATGGGTTGAATTGGGTTCCCCTCCAAACAGATTCTTTGGTGTGCTAACCCCCAGTCCCTCAGAAGTGACCCTTCCAGAGAGGCAGACCCTCCACAGAGGTGGTCAAGGTAAGATGAGGCCATGAGTGGACCTTGATCCAGCACAGCTGGTCCCTGATAGCATAGATATGCGCAGGCAAGGCCACCTGCAGACAGCGTGGCGGAAGCCTGGAGCGCTCCTCCCCAGCAACCTGAGACCTGACCACTGCACCTGGACTTCAGACGTCTCAGCTCTATATCCGTGAGACCACTTGCTGGTGGTGTCCTCAGCTGCCCTACAGTAYGTGGCCAGTTTTAAACAGCAGCCCTAGGAAACTAGCACCATCCTTACAGAACCAGTCACAAAGAAGCCTTGCCTCTCACCACACCTTCAAATCAAGCTGTTCCRTGATGAGAAAATGTAACCACGCTGCCTGGTGTTGTCTTTGATTCCTGAATATTTGCCAAGCATTTCTTTTGCGTCAGGAATCCCGAATTGGATCAACAGTGTAGGTCTTCCCTGACTTAAGCAACGTGCTTTGGCAAAATGCACGAGATTGGAAAATTCAATCTTTCCATAAATTGGTGATGTTCATAGCATTTGAAGAATTTATGTTGCCTCAAGAGAAATCACATCACATCCCAGGATATGAGAACGTAGCCCCACGACACAGTTCTATTCTGAGGTGCAGGGGGCACAGAGAAGGCTCTGGAGCCAGGCAAACCAGGGTGTGCTGCTCAGTGCCACTCTCCAACAGGGTGGCTGGGGCACGTCCCTTGCCTCTGTTCAGACTCCTGACCTGCAGAACAGGCACATGCCACCTTCTTCACAGGTCATCAGGGGGCTAATTTAGATGGCTTGGCTAACAGCCCCCTGTTCACTTCTTGGCATGCCCTCAATAAATGCCTTGCTCTTCCCTTGGGGATCTCTGAGGATCCCTCTCCGAGCTTACTTGGGTGTCTTCTGCCTCGTGCTCCCTGTTCTCTGGCATCTGTTTAACCAGCTCAGGGCTCCTCCCCTCCCCTCCCCCCTCCCCCTTCCCATTGCATCCCAGCACAGTCACTCCCTCCACCAACTATGAACTTGTGTGTAAAAACCGTGCGAAGTGTCCAGCCGTACTTGTCTGWTGGGTGGGACTCCACAAAATACCCAGCGAAGGGACAGTAGATYCGGGGCTGCAGGTCCTTCACCAGCTGAGCCTTGTAGTTCAGCAGCTTCTTCCTCTCTGTCTTAATGAACTGGGCTTTCCATTCCTCTGCAATGACAGTATTTGGGTTAGAGTCTCTTCTGTTCAGAAACCACAGAAAAGCGGATGCTCTGGTAAGCCGGATGTGAGGAACAGAAGGCAGGCAGGGCGGCTGGGAGAGAGCAGGCATCGGGAGACGGGCGGGAGAGGGAGTTGGGGAATTAGGCAGGACCAGAGTGTGCAGGGCCAAGGGTCAGAGAGCGGTTACTATCATTATTGCCATGACATTTGATAAAGATAAGAACATAAGAAAAACAGCAGCTACCCATAACCCAGATACAGGCACTGATAGCATTTCTGGCTCTTCCAGCTCCTCCCGGATGCTGATGCCTGCACACACACTCACACCGACAGGCACGGTGCTGGCTAACCCGGAATGAGTGCCTCCCTAGCACACCGTGAGTTCCCAGGGCCAGAAGCCTCCCTGACTTCCCTGATCCTGGAGGCCGTGAAGCCGACTGCAGAAGGAAGCAGGGGCGMGGGAGAGGCTACTGCATTCCACAAGGAGGGCATTTCCTGCCACATTGTCAGACAGGGATCGTTACTAACATGGTGATCCACTAATCAGAAGTAGTGAGCACTCAGATGCTGAGGTYGAGGATACCTAATGAAAGAAATACACCACTTACACATTTTCCTCATGCTAAGCCGTGCTCTGTTCTTGCAGTGCCCTGAGTAAAGGGCTCCTGTCTGGGAGCTCAGACTTTAGAGAGTCTCCTCTGYCTGTGCCCTTCCCTGCTGAGTTTACACAGGACCAAGAGGATGTGCCACCCTGAGGTGCACACAACCTGTTCTGGATCACATTCCAAGGGCATTTAAGCCTGGGCACCAGTCTCACACCTTCCCCATTCTGCTGGGTTCCAGAAACCCCGTTCAATCTTTCTCTTAGCTCTTCCTGTCCTGCTTCCTGATCTTGGTGTTCCTTTCATGTACCACCATCAGATTCTGAGCTGGGAGCCTCAGTTTGCAACATATATGGTTGTCAGTCTGGTTTCCCTGGAAGACTGCAAACTTCTTGCAGGGAGGAAGCACATCTCCATTATCTTTGTACTTATTCTCACATCACTGAGCAAAGGGCCATGCCTGATGTTTGGTATCTCATTGATACAAAATATTACCAGTGAATTTTCCACCGCTGAAGGTCATTGGAAAGCCTGATGCTCCTCCAGCAAAATCACTCATCATCAGAGCAGCGTTCACGGGCAGCCTTCCCCCATTGGGTCTGGTGCAGTCCACGGTGTTGAGTATCTTGTGACCTGTGGAAAGAGAACACGTGTTCAGGTGGAATCTCAAACAGCACAGCTTGAGTTCCCACACCAGCAGTCTTCTAGGTACGCTCTACAATCTGACTTATTTTACTATAGAATTGGTTACATTCAAGGGAAAAAAAAAGAAGAAAATTGCAAAATATAAAGACTTCAGTAGCATACTCTAAATTTTCAAGTGAATCACTGCATTTGATTGGGTAGATTCTGGTGTCTCAAGAAGACAATTAGATTGATTCCACTCTGGGTCACAGATAGATCGCCCGTCTCAACCMACTCTCTCCAGACCTTAAGCCGAAAGGATGCAAAGAAGGAAGAAAGACCCAATCATCACGAATCCTTCTATCTTTTGCAAATTCTATGCAAAGTTCATACTTAAGTCATTATATAGGCAGGAGGACCATGTTCTCATAAGAAAGTCCAAAGTGTATGATTGAATTTCCTAATGAAATTTTAAGATGAAAGTAACTAAAGACATTTATTCACGAAAGATACTTTTGAAAAAATTACTATAAAATATAAAAATACTATAAAATATAAGAACTACTATAAAATATAAAATATTGATTGCCCAGTAGAAAAAATCTTCACCCCTCTCATATGTACATTAGATTATTGAYAATTTTTTTCTCTGAAAAGAACATAGGAATGGCTACAAGTCTTACTAAGACAAGGATACAATGTACTCTATCCTCTGAAAATGAAGATACAGAGAAGATGAGCATAGGATGAAGCTGCAGGTGGCTACCACCATCGCTCCTACCCAGAGTATTTTTCATTTTTAATTGTTGCTAAGGAGGAGAAAGTACCTTTGTACTCCACAATAATGCAAGTGTCCATCTCAGGATGAACGCCATCCATCAAGATCATGAATCGAAGATTTTTGTCTACCTGGAATTTAACAATAAAACCAACAACTGTGTATATCAGTTTGGGCTTTAATCTAGTATTTGATAAGGTTGTCACTTCTGGAAAGACTGGTCAACCAGACCTTTTTTAAAAAACCTTTCAGACAATTTTTTAAAAGCCCCTTATTTGGAATGGGATTTATTACCCTGTTACTGTTGTCAGTGGAGATAAATCGTCTTTTAATCCTCTTTTACTTAACTGTGCAACATTTGAAGCTTAAATGAAGGCAGTGTTTACCCAGCACAGGTCCAAACAACATGGCCTTTTCTCTAAGTCACCTCATCTAAAGTCGACCTCCGAAAGCACAGGTGGGAAGTACAGAAGGGAACCCATCTCTGACCTGCTGCCATGCTCCAAACGGCACTACGTTGATGTTAGTCAACTGGACCCCGCTGTGTTTCAGATTCCAAAACACTGGTCTTTCCGTGTYGCCAACATAAATGGGAACATCCGGTCGTCTCTGGGAAAGCTTCTGTAGTGTCGGGTAACTAGGATCAGAGAGAGGGAAAAGTGAAAGATGGAAAAATAGGGTTGTCTAGGATAAGAGACTGTCTGTTCCTGAGACCAACATGTTGACCGAAGAGCAAGGAATTGAAAATCAGACCCTCACCAGAGACCAGAGGAGCATCTCTGCTCACGGCTGATTAAAGTGGTGAGGAGTCTCCAGGAGACTGCGCTTTCTCCTCAGAGYGTGCACGCACCACACGGTAGCTCTGTAGAGGGTCGTTATGTGCCAAGGTCGTGTGTGCCACTGTGGGGTATGGCGAGGATGAATGATGAACGGCCAGTCGCCTACTGTATTTCACATGTGCACKAGTTCTAGGCTCTTCTTCACACTTTATTTGATTCTCACAAAGAGCTCTGAGGTTGTTTGTAGATGAGAAAACATCTTCAGAAATACACAACTCACAAATAGTACGTTGGCACTCACATCTGGGTTTTCTGATTCTGAACCTGGTGCTTCTTTTAGAAGGCAGGTCTAACTTTCAAGAATGTCCTCTCCAGTTTAAGAATCAGAYTCCCACACAGAATGTAATGTCAGGTGAAATAAAATATGTAATCGTAAGAAAAGTGTGAGCAAAGTCTACGAATGGGATTTATCAACTSTACCGACAATGTTCACATTCCAACACTGTTAAAACAGGTCCAGTGGGCAAGAACTGCCTGGCYTTCTTTGAATAAAGACTGTCCGCTAGAATACACTGACCATTTCCCTGGTTTTTGTGATTCAGGGAGGTCTTATTCAATAAATAAAGATCAGATGGTATGACTGGGGGCAAATGAACTCAACACTTATTGTTCGRCTAAGAAAGAGTTGAAAATGGTCTACCAAGAAATGACTCCAGGGAGTAAAAGTCACAAGCTTCAGCAACTTTCCAGTGATCGGTTCTTGGCAACACACTGCACAGGTGTCGGGCACTACCGTGGAACCTTGACGCATGACAACTGTGCCACACAAGCCTCTGAAGCTAACCTAAAAAGGTTTTCAGCCAGTGGCTAAAGAATAGATAGACTAGATAACATTCAAAATTCTTACCCATGCCCCTAAAACTCAGTGCATTCCCAGAGAGTGTTCTCATTTGAACTTTAGGCAATTACATTTTATAGCAGACACCATAAAACAATCGCCTCGTTATCATGATACTGTTATCATGATGCCATGACCAACCATACAGAGTTGTACCACACACCTCAAGTCACTGTGCAGCACAAGAACCCAGGGTCTCATAAGCCTAAAGTTGTGAAAAGTTGGTTCCGAGGGCTTGTGGTACCACCACACTGCAGTGGGCTGAGGAYAGTTAAGGAGCAGGTACTCTGTTACTAAGTCAGTTAATTAAAAAAATTAAACTACTGCCTTTAAAAAATAAAAACAGAAGTGTATCCATGCCCCATAGTTCCCGTGTGCTTTAGAATAGACCAGCAAGGAGCCAGTCACCAACGGCCAGCCTATTAACCCTGTCACGTAGGAGAAGGCAAAGCCGCCTCAGAAGGACCCTKCGGCCAAGGCTCTGGTGTATGGTGGCAACAGAGGAAAGGTGATGACGCTGGCAAACCAGGTGATCAGCACCAGCCTGCAGTCCAGCTGAGGGACGGGAGAAGGTCCTCCCTCCKCTGATACAGCCCATTCACAAATACGGGTGGTTGCTCCCTCCTCTCTCCTCTGGCGGCCTGGGTTGGGGAAGCTTCTTCGGGATCACAGTGTCCAGTTCCTCTGGTTTCAGCAAAGTGTGGCCTGGGTTTGACTCGGGCTCCTGAGCCCTGCAGGAGCTCCAGGGGCTGTAGACCAGGCCTGGCAAGCCAGCGGCGGGAGCCACGCCGGGCCTGCTCTCTGCTTTTGTGTGACTTTGCAAGCTGAAGTCAGTTGTGTTCCCCTTTTAGATGATGGTAAAGAAAATCAAACAGACAATAATAATATATGATTCATAAAAATTATGTCATATGAAAATATCATCCTCCCTGAAGTTTTATGGGGAGAGTCATTTCCTTTCAGGACCGTCTGTGGCTGCTTTTGTATGATAGTGGTAACGGTGACTTGGTCACAATGCTGATTACATGGCTTTCGGAGCCTAAAATATTTGCACTGGCTCTTTATATTAAAAAAAATAAAATAAAACAGAGGCTGATTCCTGTTATAAATGCTGAGCTGAGGAAATAAAACCCCAACGCCCAGTCCTGCTGACCTTCAGCCTAATGCACAACCTAGTCTAAGGGTGGCACGTGAGGGGACAGTGAACCCTGTCCCCCTGACAGAGCTTCCTCATTCCCACTGGCGCAAAGCGTGGAAGCCCTTGTTACAYTGAAATTGCAAAGTGCACGCACACATCCGTCTCTGTTAGTGCTCTTCTCTTCATTCCAGCTGAAGTGCTTCGGAGCAAGTGGTCACTGCAGGAGAACTGGAGTAATGTCTTGCTCGTATCGCAGCGGTGCTGGCCCCGAGGTGGTGCCAGGGCTCCTTACCTCAGGTGGTCCGAGTGCATGTGGCTGATGTAAACCAGGTCTGCCCGGCACAGCCTCTCCAGCCAGTCGGAGGGAGGCTCATGCAGCAGCCACCATCCTCGGGCAAAGGCGGGACCCACTAGCCAAGGGTCAAACACCATCCTCTTGTCTCCCAACTTGAGGTCCATGCAGGCGTGGGTGAGATACGTTACCTGTGGGCAGAGGGAGATTCCTGTGATTGAGTTAGTACTGGGCAGCAGAAGTGAACAGAAAGCTTCTCCTGGCTCGCTGACAACTCGGGTCGGAGAGTTTTGTTCCTAAGCAAGGTTAGGCAAGACCTTGGGCTCAACTGTGGCTCAGCAGACACCTGAAATGAACAAACTCCCAGCACAGCCCTGACTCCATCAGAGCAGACGCTCTCATGTTGGGTTTTAGGTGTCAAACCAATTGATTTACCCAAACTCACTCTATCGAAATCTGGCATCTATGTGTGACCTGCACCATGAATGTCTTTYGTGACCCGTCCTTCAAAGCACAGTCTGCAAGGTGCTGTGGCCAGCATTGGGGATCTAAGCATGAGAGTGGCTGTGAACAGGGACATGAGTGAATRACGCCCAGGAGGGTGCGGGTGCCGGTTGGCACAGCTGAGCAGCCTGGATGGACCCGCCATGTCCGCCAAGAGGCCTGCGTGGCCTTCTCTTCCCCATCACCCGCCAGCTCAGCCTGCAGGACGCAGGTCCTGGGAGACACAGAGGCTTACACAGACCAGCACAGACTGGGGAATTCCAACCCCATTCCTCCTGATCCTGCCTCCGCCGGCATGAGGAAGGTAAGGTAGCAGGAGCCCAGCACCAAAGCCGACGGAGCAGGGCAGGAGAGGTCGGGGCCAAATCAGCTCAAATTCTGCCCGTCTGGGGTGCCCTCCCTTGTTTTTCCTGAAGAAGTAACTGCTCAAACATACCCACGTTTCCAAACACACARAGAAATGAATTTAAGATTGTCTCTCCCAAACTAATGTTTCCTCTGAAAAATCCCAACTTCTAAGTCTGGAAAAATAGATAAGGAGGTTTTAAAAGATATCAGGGCAAGATGCAGAAATACACCACTGTCCCTTGCTGGGGCTTGGGTGTGGCTTGTCCCCCACAGTCTCCTGTATGAACAGCCTGGTGCCATCAAGGCCGGTAGAGGTGGGGGGAGGCTAAGAGGTGRGGCCTAGAGGGAGGCCTCACCCTGGGAGAGACWGATGCAGGATCAGCCCAACCGCCCAGGGGACAAGTTGTCACAGGTGGACTGGCACCTTTCACAAAGGTGCTTCTTGCCACTCTTGCCCGGGCTCCTGCCATTGGGATGCCATCCAATCAGGAAGCCCTCACCAGAGCTGAGCAGATGCCAGCTTCAGGCTCCTGAACTGCCAGAACTGTGGGTCAGTCTCTTTTCTGTATAAATTACCCAGCCTCACATATTTTGTTACAGYRACAGAAAACAGACTAAAACACCATTCTGTCTGACGAGGATTTGGCATCCAGCTAATTTCTAAACTTCCTCTAGTAGTTTTGTATGGTTCTCCTTTAGGATCTGTTCTAAAGTTTTGTATTTTTTTCCCTGAATATATATGAAGGATATTTTTGTTTTATTTCTAAGAATATTAAAATTTCACTGTTTCCTTACCTGCACTTCCCCAAAAGCCAAATCTTCAGGGGGCCTGGGATCTGAATCCCAGGGGTTAGGAGGATTTAGTTCTAGAAGTAAAAGTCCACTGTTTTCATCCATTTCAACAACTGGAACCAAAGGGAGATAAATTTGGATTATTAACAAAAAAAATGACTTAAGTGTTACTGAAATAGCAATCTGTGGTTCAGGTACTCAGAGTAGAAAAAATCAAAGGAAAATTAAAACAAGTCTACCTTCAACTCACTTTACAGCCCAGAACCCAGAGGCCTGCGGCGCTGGACACGCACCACTTCACCGCAGTGATCSAGGGAGAGGGATGGGCTCGGTGCCATGAAGTGCCCTCTGGCAAGGGCCAAGCCCGTTTCATACCGTGAGTAGCCCCAGCCAGCCCGGGGAGTGGGGAGTCTGGGGACCGGGGAACCCTGGTGACATAGGCAGGGGGGACCGGCCCCAGCATGTGCGGGTGCCGGGTGTGGAGAGCTCGAGTTCACAAAGTGCCCGGTAAGTGGCAGCCTGGCGAGTCAATGGCCGATGGGGACTGGACCAGTCAGAGCCTGAAGGACCCCACGTGCCTTGCCGGGTGGTTGGGGTTTTATCTTGGAGCCAGGAGGAATCAGTGGAGACTGTGAAGGCACTTGGGGACCCTGGTGGCAGCCTGCTCAGGGCCCGCTGTCCCCCTCCTCCTTCCTGCAGCCTCTGTTTCCCGGAGGAGGTGGTGTGTCGCTGAGGAGGGCCACTCAGGCGGGCCACTAAGGTGTGCCTGCGGCCGTGCGGTCCTGGGGGTCCTAGACAAAGCTCCTACACATTCTGAGCACAGCTCTGGCCGGTGGGATGTGATGGATGTCTGCAGCAGGATTTGCGGGAACACCGCTCCTTCCCTGACCAAGAGGAAGGATCCAGGGACCTGCCCTGTGGCCCTCAACTTTCCCCTCTTATTTGGGACATGGTTGCTGTTCCTGTAGGGACAGGAGCCGTCATGAGACCCTGAGGAAAAGAGCCACTTACTAAGAGACAAAGCAGAGAGGAGGCGAGCTGGCTCCTGGATGGAGCCATGGAACCAGGCACTTTGCTCTCCACGTTGCTGTGATGTGAGAAGCAGGCCCCCGTAGGGTCGGGACCCAGGATTGGGTTTCTATGGCACGAAGTCAAACCAGCACCTCAGGATGCAGCAGGAGGGTAATACAGTCAGACTTGGTCTGAGATCATTGAGAGCTAAGGGAGGCTCTGCGGGAGGGAGGAAGAGCACCCCGGACGGTCTCCCTGTGGTGTGGYGGGCGTGAACTGGAGACAGGTGTCCCCCCAGAACTCTCACTTCCCCACTTCACAGTGGGTGACCTCCAGCAAGGCACCTGTGCCCCGTCTTTGATGTTCTTATCTTTAACCTTTGCYACTTCCAAGGATACCAGGATAATTGATCCTAATAAACACTGCAACTGTACCAACTGCTGTCTGAGGGCACATGTCGTCTGAGACCACGGCAGTCCCTGTCAAGGGCATCTCCAAAAGACAGCAACCATGGTGCTGGAAAACTG